CTTCTAAAAACATATTCTCAGTGTTAACTACTTTCATGCTGTTACTCCTAGCACAAATAACACCCACATTGACCCTACAGGTGATACACCGATCAGTCCAAACCCAATGAAAACCCTATAATGAAAACATCAGCGGGGATCATGATCAGAATCATAGTGCCAATTAGTTAATTAATATTTTAAAATACACATTCTATATATGTACATAAAGTAACACTGGGTTTAGACTGAGAAAATATACTATGTACATGACAGTGCAAGACTGATTTGTTCAATCCTGTGTCCTGAAGCAAAAAACAGACCCTTCCTTTTCTTCCATCATTAACATGACTTCTGTGGGTGTTCATTACCTGTGAAAGGACCTTTTCCATTGTACAGCCTTCTAGAGAGAACATCACTGTTCTCACAGGAACTGACCAGTTCTAAATATATTCTATTATTGGTTTCCCAAAAGAGAGATTAAACCTGGTTTATACCCGAAGTTACTTAAGATATATTAAAGACATACCTCCTCCGTGGCTCTGACAGAGATATGGGAACCTCCACACATTTCCTAAGCCCACACAAAACCCTATGCACGTCAGCATATACTGAGCCTTGTTATCCCATTTTGGTCTGGAGTCTGCCTCTTGTTTCTCGAGGACCTCAAGTTCAGCATGAGAAGGTATCCTGTCCTCCAGGCCAGGATTGGGCAACTTTAGCTTTACCATATTTTAAATTTCCTGACTGAGAACACTGCCACAGTGAGGAGCAATGAATCAGGCAGCTAATCAGAAACCTGCTCAAAAAGAGACCATCTATTTGCTGTCTTCAGCTATATATAGTGAACCTTTGGCACTAGACTTATAAGTGCAGGCTTGTGGTAAAAAGAAGCGTCAGCAAATCATTCGATTGACCAAGTCAGCTCTGACACTTATTAATGCTTTATCTGTCAAGGTTTTATGGAACAGTCTGTTCATCTAGTAGAAGACATGGATTTCAGCTAATGTAATTCAGGAGATAATTTGGCTATAAACTGTAATCGCCTATAAGGATATATAATACCCCTTGCCACTCCCCTGTTTAAACTCACTGAAATACATATATAGCCCTAGCAAATAAGAAGTAACAAGATGCCACTGGTCTAAGACTAAATATAGAAACTTTATATCATTTTTTATCAGGAAGATAAACTGCTTGTGACTCACCATCACGTTCAGTTTCTCATAGTGATCACTTACAAAATCGTATGTTACATGTTCCTCTGTAACAGACCTGAATGTTCTGACCAAAAGGATGGGAAATGAAAGGGATAATAAAATCTGACCTTTAAAATCACAAGCATAATCTGCTTACACTAACGCCTTTAATCGTTACAGAACAAGGTCTGCAGAACAGAGTGTCTTTTTTATAAATGGTCTCGAAATCAAAGGTCCCTTCACCTTTTAAATGATCGTAGATACACTGGTCCAAAATAAAAAAGAGAGACTGGTTAACAAATATCACAGATACTAGCCACATACTCATTATTTCAGCACAATGATAAAAGAATTGCCATTTGTACCTCAGTGTTATCAAAAGATAAGTACTTGCCACTGAAAACTATACATAAAATCTAACACTATATTTATCATAAGAGTTTTTTCAGCTAAGCCCTACAGGTTCTTTGCATACAATTACACAAGATCGTCAAAATAAAGAACTAGAAAAGATCTTGTAATTCCAGCCTGTGGCAAAGGAGGTGAACACATCACAGCATCCCTTTGCAGCCTTATCATGTGGATTCAAAGTTGATTCCAAAGGCTGTTCATTATCTTTTGAATAGAAAAGTTATTAAAAAAGTCTTCATCCTTCACGTGGATGACTGTATACAGTAGCCCAGATGAATTTTCCCTGTAATAGGTAATAATATTTCCCTAATTTAACCTGAAATATCTCTCAGTCTGCCTAGTGATAGCACTTGCCTTTTTCATGACCCTGTCAGATCTGTGGATGAACCGTTTCCTGATTAACCACTGGATCATCAGCTTTCTTCTCCTTTGGTGATTTCAACTACAGATTTCCTAGTTTGCAGCAGAACAACTTCTTTTAAGCTACCAAAAGCATATGTTCAATTTAATTCACTTTCTGCTACTCCAGTGCATTGAGCTGCTCAGTTCTTCCTGAATTGATACTTTTTCAGCATTCACAACACAATCACATTCTGAGATTGTGTCATGAGTATTTCATTAACATGCTACTATTTTTTGTCCTTAGTCATCAGTGGAAGAATGACAAAACACTGTTCCTAAAGTGATCTTAAGGAACTGCCACAGTAACCTCCCCTTAGACCACCATTTCTCCTTTCAGCCGAACTTATCATTATAATTAGATCTTTACCTAGTTCTTTGTTCATAGAGTCATCATAGAATCACAGAATGGTTTGGAAGGGACATGGTCATCCAGTTCCAACCCCCCAGCCATGGGCAGGGACACCTTCCACTAGACCAAGTTGCTCAAAGCCCCATCCAACCTGTGGATGGGGCATCTGCAGCTTCTCTGGGAAACTTGTTCCTGTGTCTTACCATCTTCATATTGAAGAATTTCTTCCTAATATCTTATCTAAACGTACTTCCTTTCATTTTGAAGCCATTACCACTTGTCCTAACGCTGCATGCCCTGTCAAACATACCTCTCTTGCTTCCTTGTAGGCTCCCTTTAGGTACTGGAAGGTGCTCTAAGGTCTCCCCGGAGCCTTCTTTTCTCCAGGCTGAACAGCCTCAACTTCTCAGCCTGTCTTCATAGGAGAGGTGTAATCATCTTTGTGGACTCCTCTGGACTCACTCCAACAATCTTTCTCATGCAGAGGGTCCCAGAGCTGGATGCAGCACTCCAGGTTGGGTCTCACATGGGCAGAATAGAGGGGAGAATCACCTCCCTTGACCTGCTGGTCACACTTTTTTGGATGTAGGAGTTGATTGGTTAATCTTCTGGGCTGCAAGAGTACACTGTTGGCTCATGTCCATCTTTATGTCCATCAACATCCCGAAGTCCTTCTCCCCAGGGCTGCTCTCAATCCATTCTCCACCCAGATCGTATTTGCGCTTGGGGTTGCCCTGACCCAGGTGCAGCACCTTGCACTTGGACTGGTTGAACCCCACCATGTTCTCATGTGCCCACTTCTCAAGCTTGTCCAGGTCCCCCCTGGATGGCTTCCCTTCCTTCTGTTGTATCAACTGCACTACTTTGTTCATGTTGTATCTCCTGTTCAGTTAAGTTCATACATCTAGTTGTGGTCACATGGCAACTGGTCTACTGAAAATGTCTCTTTTGCTAAGTTTCACATGCAAGCAGTTTCTATCCAGATCCAAAACCACATTTCAGATTGCCCTCTAACGAACAAATCCTCTTTCTGAAGAATTTTATCCTTTTTCGGTAATGCAAGGTTCCAGTGGTTGTTAGTTATCTATCAGTTGTTAAATATTTGCAGAAGCAAATGTGCTGGTATAACATCTAGCTCAAATTTCTTTATCAGTGTAATAGCTAATGACTTTGGAAGGCACAGTGCTTTTTTCTGAAGGACCTAGGGCAGCAATGACACCAGCTCCTACACGACTCACAGGTGCTCAAAGGGGTTGTCTATGTTGCCACCCTGTGGATTTGAACAAGCAAGTTGGAGCTGCTCTTCCATAATCACAGTCACATGTTTATTCAGCAGAACCCCTTCCTGTGCTCTGAGATAAACTTCTCGTTCAAGTAATGTCAAGCTTACATTTGGCAGGTCCCACAGGGTTAGTTATGGCTAATAAACCTCCACGAAATCCATCCTTTCATGATATAGGCTGCTAAATAAGACACGTATTGCAAACCGCTAATTATAAATGCAGGAGAAAACAGATCTTAGATTGGATTACTTGAGTTAAAAGGTTATGATCCTGTGAGGACCAGGGAGTTGAAACTGATGATCCTTCTGGGTCCCTTCCAACTTGAGATATTCTATGATTTTATGATTCTTCTACCCTCCATCATGGGCTGGAAGGAACTGCACTGGAGAAACTGCTTTTGGTTGGATCCTGTGAACGGGAGGACAAAGAGAAATCAGCACGACAGAGCAGGGACCTCTTCTTTAAAAAAACCAAATCCTTTCCTCTAAAGCCATTGAGAAAAGCAGAGAGCACCAGCAATACGTGTAGTTTGCATCCAGCCACAGTTTCAGGTATGAAATACAATACAGTTCTTTCCTTGTGATTCCATCCTCCCTGGTGTGACATAGGACAAAACTGTAACTCTCCAGATATTTTTATCTGGACTTACTATATAGCATGCTATTAGGATTAACTACATTATTCTATGACCCTTTTTAGTACTGTAGCAGATACTGATTTGAAATCCCTTACTCTAGTAATTCTATAGCACTGTCTTACCAGCATTAATCATATTTTCTTTCCAGTCAGTCTCTACTTTATAGTCAAAGCATCATATACAGTAATGCAATTACTCTTGCTTATGTGATAAGCCAAAACTAGGAAAAGATGGAAATGTAAAGATGGTGATAACTATACAGCCAAATGCCTAAAGCACAGGATTCTCATTTGGAAGTGTAAATTGGTAAAGATGTAATAAAAGTGAAAAAGAAGAAGAAAATTCAAAGCCCATCCCTGTTTGGACCATCCTTTAAAATACATGGAGAAAACACAAAATCTTTCTACAAGTTGCCCATGGGTCACATCCTTGAACACCTGTGCAAAGAGGGAGCACTGAACCTCAGGCTCGGGAGGAGACTCAAAATCACCAGCCTAAGGGACACTGATGATCATATTAGAAGTGGAGAGATGCAGGCAAAATATTTCAGAGTTGCTTAGTTTTAAGGGTAATAATCAATGGCAGGTGGTCATGCAGTTTACTTTGCCAATAAATTATCTGTAGATCTTTAACTTGATCTAAGTTTTATGCTCTGTTGTTCTCAAACTCTACCTGATAAGTAACCAAAAGACCCAGCTCTTCAGCTGGCATGATTTGATTTCCTATGTTTGTACTTCAAGGCTGCTGCCATCAACCCACAGAAATTCAAGCAGGGATACCTTGAAGGCTTTGGAGACATGCAATAAGCTGTGGAAGCTCTTCCCATGAAACTGCAGACTTCTCCAGTTGAGAGAGAAGTCTTTTGGTGCTATCAAGTATCACTGAAGAGGAGAAATAAGACAGCACTGAGCTGTCATTGAAAATCTGTCTCAGGCTATTGGGAACACAACAGGGGTGGGATTTCATACACAATGACTTCCACAAACATCCCATTCTGGAGTGGTTGTATGGTGTCAAGGAGTTTCCTTCAGCAATCTGATATACCTAGGAATTGCCAGTTCATGTTTATTGTGGAAGTAGCAGGGTTCTTAGCCACAGAAGAATTCAAGGAAACAAGCTATGAACAGCATGTCTAGTGTAGTTCATCCAGAACTGAGCTGACACTGATGTTCGTGTGGCCTTTTTCTCCTTTTTATCTCCTAGAAAGAGGCACAATCTTTATGTTTGTCTATACTAGTAGTTTCCATAATATTTACTTCAGCATTACATATAAATATTTCAGTAAAGTAATATCAGCTCATGCTGCTTTGTTTGGTTCTTCTTGTTGACAGCAGGGAGGGAGATGTGCTGTCCTTAATATTTCACTGCATACAGTCAGAAGATCACCAAAATATTCCTTTCATCTTTGAAGAATACATTTCATCTTTGGAATATCTTTGGGGGAAAATACAGGTAAGGGGCATAGGTGTAGAAATGCTTCAGTGGACAGCACCAAATTATCTGATCTCATGATCAGAGGGCTGGAGCACCTCTCCTACAAAGACAGAATGAGAGAGTTGGGGTTGTTCAGTCTGGAGAAGAAAATACTCAGGAGAGACCTTATTGTAGCCTTTCAGTACTTCAAGGGGGCTTATATGAACACTGGGACAAATTTTTAGCAGGACCTGTTGTGATAGGACAAGGGGTAATGGTTTTAAACTAAAAGAGGGTTGATTTAGACTAGATGTAAGGAAGAATTTTTTTACAGCAAGGGTGGTGAAACACTGGAACAGGTTGCCTAGAGAGGTGGTAGATGCCCCATCCCTGGAAACATTCAAGGTCAGGTTGGACAGGGCTCTGAGCAACCTCATCTAGTTGAAGATGTCCCTGCTCATCGCAGATGGGTTGGAATAGATGAGCTTTAAAAGTGCCTTCCAACCCAAACCATTCTACAATTTTATGGTGTCCAGCATCTCCCTAAATTTCTTAGTAAAGTGCTATTGCTTGGATCTGTCTCACCTACATCTTGCCTCACCAAACATCTCCTCTCTAGCAGGCAGCAGAACATGTTAACAGCTATAGGTTGTTGCTTGCTATGCGTATTAAGCAATGAACAGTGTTCTTGAATCAAGTTTGTTACTGTTTTCTTTTCCAATGCTTTAACATACGAGATGCTAATCAGGTGCTGAACTACATCCAAGTCTTGCATGTCACCTTTGCATAGAGGTCTACTGCAGTACCCACTTTAGCAGAGACAAGTTCATTCTGTCTTGGTCACCGAATACCGTGTTCTTGCTCATATTTCTTGGGTTTACGCTTCAGTGATATTCGGGCCAGAGTGGTCTGACTGTGTAGCATCAGAGATGTGCTCCAGTATAGCTCATGGGAGCAGAAGGTGCTGCTGAGGCTGCTGGCTGGAAGAGCCATTAGCCACAAGGGGGAGGCAGCAACCAGTGATATGAAGCACCAACCGCTGTACCTGAGGATTTCATTCTGATTGTGTAAGTCAAGTTTAGAGAAATGTAAATCACTCTCATAAAGAGAAGAGCGAAGCAGCTGGACAGCTTGGGCTGGTATCAGCACACAGGGCTGTTGGGGTGCATGACTGCAAACAGCCACCACTACAGGTCTCGCAACCCCTCAGCTCTCTTCAAACTCTTCTATCCACAGACTCCTTGTTTGCAGAGGCACAATTTACTTTCAGTTTTTTGGTGGTTGTCATGAGTACTGTACACAGCTACTAGCATTTTCAGGGCTATTTTACCAGTAGTGTTTCATCTTTTGACTTTCTCCAAGGGCTAACCATAATCGTTCTGTAATTAGTCTTTTTGCACAACTCCTTCCACAGTAATGTCTCAGATAGTGGTACCTTGTGAGTAGCATTATATGCTATTACTGTGCTTGTCCACTTGGAATAAAGCCTGCCACACAGGTGACTTGTCAGCCACCACCTTTAGTGCTGTTACACAGTAGTCTATCACATGTATAAGCTGGGAGATGTGATAATTTTTTAACAGCCCTTCTGATGTTAAGGTCCAGGTTGTCCCCTTAACATCTGCATGGTTCACCAAATTTGTGATTCTTGGTACTTAGTAGGTCTTCAAAGTTGTCAGCATTCTGTGAAGGTTTTGACAGAGCTTTTCTCATGTTAGAAAAGTTAGAATCAAGTTTCAATATTCAGGTTTAGATATCCCTATCCAGAGGTATATTTTCAACCCAGGGTATTTTTCAGAGTCTCCTGGAGCAATTGTGTTCAGTTTATACTGAACACTTGCCAGTGGCTGCAGTCATTGATCATGTAGGAGTCATAGGTGGGGTTGATGAAAAAGCCATGACATTTCTCTCTCATGGGGTTTTAGATCAGTGCAAATACAAAAAGGTTGCTATGAGGTGTTTTGCATCTTCTCCCATGTGTTGCTTGGCAAGACCAAGTCATCAGCAAAGGCCAAGGTGGTAATCTGGTTTTGCTCTGGAGGAATCCATAGCCATATTTTTCTAGGCTGCAGAATAATGGATTGATTTGGTGACATTGGATCCCATTGTTTGACAGTGGCCTTGATGGTAATTCGCTTAGCATGATCCTTTGTCGTGGTGGTGACACTTACAGATCGAGTTTCATCTGACCACATGTTCAGATAGTTCTCTTTACTTCAGGACCAAAAGGTATGCTCATGTGTCACCGAGTAGGAGGCCTTGACCATTTCCATGAATACTCCCCACAAGGCTTGTGTTTTTTTGGTAGCATATTGAATGATAACTTAGAGTGATTGTACACTCTCAGAGAAACCAGGTTCAGATATAAGGCCTCTTTGTTACCCGTTGACCATTAATAGGTCGAGCTTTTGTTACCCTGATTGTCAGAATCCACGTAAAAAGTATTAAGATGCTTGATCAGATTGTGATAGGACTCTCAGTTTTGTCATCCAAGTTGATTTCAGTATCAAAATTGTTCTGTGTTCCTTGATACTACCCAGTACACATGCAAAGTCAAAGTTCTACTAATACCAGTCCTTAGGGGGTCTGTCTGTACAAGGCCTTTTAAACTTACTTGGTCTAGGTCAGGTGCTGAGGTTTTACTTATTTCTTTTATCTCCTTCAAAATGTGTTTAAGTGTTATCAGCTTAAAAGGCCAATTTATCAACTTTCCAAGATTTTGAAACTTCTCCGCTTCTCCGTGTTGAGAAATGGTTTCTCGCTCTTACACTTGAACTTTACTGACTGAATATACTGCTGCACACATTCACACAGAGAACATTTACTGTTTTTATCGGGATGTTTTGCATAGGGTAATGCTCACAAGGGGAATTGGATCTTTTGACCAAGACAACTGCCTGGATGCTGATGTTGCAAATATCCCTCAATGGTGTCTTCAGCTAAATGGGCTGAGACTCCCCAAACTGCTCTGGTGATTCTATGTGATCATTACAGCATATCCATGATCAGTTCTTGTCGATTATCTTAAGCTATGTAAGAAACACATCTTAACTATGAATAAAAGACAGCCCAACATGCCTGTCTTTTCATAGGCAGGAACAATTTCCACCGGCTATATAAAATTATGGATGGTTTGGTCAGTTCCTGAATTGACAACAGGACCTGCTTGGGGAAATCCCTGGCTATGTGCTGGATCTTTCACCCCAAGTCATTAAGCAATATATCTCAACATACAGATAACGTCCATCAGCTTACAGAGCAGAGTTCCTGCCTATCAGCAGGAGCTCCCTGGGGAAAACCCTGCATACCCCCGGCTGCTGGGAAAGCTCCTGCAGCAATCAGTTGGTTGTTTTGTTGCGAAGTGGCCATTGATCTCACTGTCAAACTACTAAATTCCAATGAGTTACTTCTTCACAGATCCATCTGTTGTCTCAGCTATGCAGTGATTAGCTGGAAAGCTCCTGGACCAGGCAGGCAGTTAATGACCAAGTGCCCTTGGCATGCAGACCAGCAAAGCCTTCATATCCAGCTGCACCAAAACTGCAAACATAAACTTGACTTTCATCCTTGTATCACAGCAATAACTCAAATTCCTTTGATTTTACCACAATACCTGAACCACTGACCAGTTTCTGCCTTTTATCCCTCATTATTTTCTCATCCCCACACGAGTGCTCAAAAGCATGCTCTACAGAGCCGGGAGATGGCAAAGGATTGTGTCAAATACAAATAAACTGAAGATCTTATATGATGGGAACAAGGATTTCCGGAGTGTCTGAACACTATCCTAGAGCAGCTGGGTTGTAGTGCTTCACAGGGAGGAGGAAGAGGAGGGAAGTGAAAAGAGCTGACATGCAGAACGAGACCATCTGAGGGATTCTGCACAAAGGCAGAATATCCTACACAACATTCTATTGAAGGATGACCCCAGTCTTTCAGAGGGATCGTCATCTTTAATCCCACATCTTTAGTTAATGCTGGTGCATTTATCTGTTTGATGATGCTGTTCTTTTCTAAGAAACACATTCTCTTAGCCCTAAGACCAATACTTTTTACATGTCAATATAAAAAATGTACCATTTGTTAAACGTAAAATGGTGCAATTAGCTGGGAAAGTTGCAATAAACTAGCAAATTCCATTCCTCCCACCCACCTTATCCAAGCTACAAACAGTGCAGAAATATGTAAGAGTTTTTATTAATTGTTATTGTTTAATGAGTGACAATTTTCATAACAAAAAAAAGTTCATTACGTATTTTGAAATTTTTCTTGCATTTTAAATATATGTGGGCAGTTCCAAACAATTAACCAATCCAGAATAACAGTGCTGAGCAAGATAAAACTTAAATTAGCATTTTCAACATAAAAACCTACAAAGGGGGAATGTTTCAAAAATACATCACACAAACATGGGTTTGGGTAGAAACTAACAGGACCAGTGCTTCTAAACCAGTTACACACTTTTAAAAAGCCTCCTGAAGTAACTCTTCAGTCTTTATATAGTGATCTTCAAAGTCCATGAACAATAGTTCAGTGATTAGTTGAACAAATAACCGACACTTCTAAAAAAGAGAAAGTGAATAACAAACATCTATTCTATTGCATCCAACCCTGTACAACTGAGCGTATGATGCTTCAACATACATATTTGTACTGAAAAAATAGTATTTTACCCTCTTGATTACAATTTCTTTAAATATTTTGAGTGATGTCAGTGACAAACCACAAAAAAATGAAAAAGCGTAAAATCTTTGCTCTTTTAATACTAAGATGTACAAATTCAAGGCATGAATCTCAAATACATTGGCATTGATTTCTCATCTGACATTTGTCTGCTGAGTGGCTGAACTGCCTGCACCAACTTGTGAAAGGCGCCATAGCTGGATGGTCACTTTCCACATTCAGAAGGAATTACACATGGGGTAAGTTTTTCAAACTGATTTGTTCTACTCGGCAGTTAGGGTGTGTGCATATGGCCAGGGGCAGCAGCTTGGCTCAGGCAGTCACACGTGAATAGTAACTCAACTGTGTTCTCATCTCCCAACCCACATACGCTTCGCATCCAGACAAACTGTGGCCCTTCTGATGTTTGTGATGAGCTCTTTTCTTTCCTCCAAGTTTGTCTACTACAACTTTATTAAAAAAAATAGTACATAAAATACTAATAGATCAACATAACAGTATAATTAGTACCAATAAGCAAAATCACAACTGCAAAACTGAGTAGTTGGGAAGCATCTATTTTGTTCAGGAATCTCATTTCATGTTAGGTATTTTTGCTGAGTAACTGGATTAGGTTGCACACACTATTTCAAAAGATTTATCTGCTTTCTTCTGTGCCCAGACTGAAACGAAACCAGGAGAAAACAGTAAGAGAAAAACCCCCACATCTGTAAGAGTTCTCTGTTAAACTTGGATGGGCATTCACATAGCTGGATTGCTTCCAAGACATGATTCTAGATGATTGCCTAGAGCAAACCTGTTTACCAAGTCTAGCCCTCAGGAAATAACAAACTGCTAATTAAGGAGCTGACAACCTACCAACACTAATCAAAGTCAAGTAACGGAGAAGACCAGATATTAAAAACAGAAGGTTAAACATTGCCCCTTTGAGGTCTAAGGCTGGATTACAAAGGAGGAAGAAAAAAGTTATCCAAAATACATGGCACTGTTGAAAAAGAATGTGGTTTCTACTGCTAAAAGAAGTCAAAGTATACTCAAAGTTTTAAGAGATTTCAGGCAATGGCTTTTTTTGTTGATGTTGGTGTTTTTTAATCTAGAGCTGCTTATTTTCCTGTATTATTTTATTTTATCTATAATTTTATTTTTACCGTATCTATTTTGTTTTTACTAACTAAATTAAAAAGTCCCCTCTCTCAGAAGTTTGCAAAGCTTGTATATCTGTAGGCTTTCCTGGTCAGGTGTACACGAAGTGGTGAACCGTAAGGTCAAAATTTAAGAGCTGTGGCAAAGTGTACTTCAGTTCTGGGAGAATGGAGACAGTCGGAGAGGGAGATTGTGGCTACCAGTGCAGACTGCTTTTAAGTTTCTATCTGCAAATTACAAACAGGACCTGTCCAAGGAGCAAAGACAGGTGCAACAGCTGTAACCCAAGGAGGTTCCTTCAAGCTAACCAGGTAGCAGCCAGTGTCCTGAGAGGCAGAGGCAGCAGCATGGTGACATCATCCCTCATGGAGGCACATTGCTAGGTTACAACTAAAACTCTAGCTGAGAAAAAAATACAAGTATTCTTAACATATTTCCAATACGATAAGAATGTAACTTCAAGTTTATACACTCTAGTACTCGAGAACGGATCCCGAGCCCCAATGAGACTTACATCAGTCTGTTTCGTGTTATTTTAATTAGCATCTTCTGTATGTTTCATTAGTAAAATACTATTTGCATATCAAGCTGGAAGACAATGAAAGACTGATGAATTTGAAACAGGATCATGCTATTCCCCCCTCAGAATACTAATACATACATTTATACACACACACATTCACGCGCACACATACTCATATGAATGTATGTACAGATACGTAGGATTCGTGTCAAGCAGTTGCCCAAACATTGTCCCTTCCAAACATCTGCCTCAAAATCAGTCTTGCTTAAACAAACTTTGAAAAATGGTAATAATGATAATAATAATAAAAAAAGATAGTCTTAAGATACCATGTAAAAAGTCAGGGATAAGGAGCACAATGTGCTACTGCACTTGGGGGAGACAAATCACACTTCTCTGTTGATGGAGCATGACCACCAACTAGGTAAATCCATCTAAACCCAGTTCTATTTTGCTGCTTCTGATACCTGTGGAAGCTGGCCTATCTCTACACTACACTGCAGTCTGCAATACAAACACACAGAGTTTAAGAGCATGCACAGCTCGCCGGAGCGTCCACTTTTAGTGAAAGGAAAGGCACCAGCACCGCACGTCCCATGCAAATACAAGTGCAGTGAGGAGGGGAGATGGCAACACAGTAGAAGAGTTTAACAGCTTCGGACTACAACTGTGACTGTCCCTACCATGCACGGTGGATCACGCAGAATCCCAATACTTCCCCTACTTAGCGTTTTCCTAACATGGCCTTTTCTACCCTCTTGAACTTCTGCAGTTCAACAGCTAGTTCCCAGTTTCTCAGATACAGCCACATAAGCTTTCCATTTTGACTTTTGTTTCTGTTCAGCATATTACCACAGTAGTTATCGTATTTGAAAATATCTTTTAAGCCACTTTCCACATGTAAAGCCATAGCAACAGGATCAGTTGCTGCTTTAACTAGCAGATTTTTCTCCATTTCTAGTCTCTGACTTCTGGGTACAACAAGACTGCAGTAGATGTCCTGTCTTTCTTTAAGTCCCTCTTCAAATTCTTTCAGTAAAATATTGGCTCTCTTTTGCCACTCTTCTTCCTTCGCCAGGCAACTCTGGTACAAGCTACCTTCTGCTCCTGAGTGCAAGAGGACTTGTTTATCTCGCTCCAACTTCTCCTGCTCCTGTTCTAGGAGCCTCCTTTCTTCTACTAGTTTTCGGCTCTGGGACACGAGGGCTTCGCGGTAACTCAGGGTTCTGTTGCGTTCCTTTTCCAGCTCCACCTCCAAGTGAGCAAGAGCACGACGGTTCTCCGTGATTATATCCCGGTATTTGCCTTCCAGGTCTTTTTGTAAAGATGACTGCTTTTTATGGTACTCTTCTTTTTCTCTTTCTATTTCTTTTTGACATTCTCTGGTCCAGATCCAACCTACCATATATAAATGAGACTTCAGACACGAGTATAACATAAAACGATGGGTGTGATTAATTAACTATGCCTCAAAGAAAGCTACTAAGTGGTAAATAACTCTCTCTCCTGCCCTCCCCAGTGATACTCACTTCTATTTATATGTCCCCACAAAATGTATTTCTGTGGTCCCTCTTTCACAGTAAGTCACTTTAAATGATCATGTTTTCCCCGAAGTAAAATATTCCCTATTCTTTTATTACCAATACTTGCACTACTTGGATTAAAGAAAAAAAATAAAGTCATGCAGAAACAAACTGGAGGTTTCCAATGCAGGTACTGCACAGAGAACCTTTCAGGTC